TTTTGTGATCAAATTTTCATCAATTTTGAAAATAGTTTGCGAAATGTGACGGAATTAATTCCAAACAGATAAAACGAAAAATTTATTAATGCAAAAACTGATATAACTATTATAAAAATTGATAAAAATTTGACAAAAAATTGATGAAAATTATAACTTGATAGCATTAACGAGTCGCATGAAAGCGTCGACAAAGAACGGAAAGCAAATCGCTGAATAGTAATCGCGACCATGGTGGAAGTATATTAGGTGTGCTCGTTTTCGAGAATTTCGTACCATTCTGCGCACAATCAGATGCGCCATTTTAAACATTTACGTTGCGGTAATTTTGAAGTTTTGACATATTGCGGAAATGAGTATCGATATATATCGACACGCGTGATAAAATTGTCAACAATTGTTATTCTAATCATTATTTTTAAGAATTAATAGAGAATTTTTCATGGTTGCGACCAATGAAAAGAGCTCGATCAAAGATACCTTTTTCGGTATCTCATTTTTAATCGCGTCTCTTCAACGATTCACTTTCCGCCTCTTGCTGTCGCACTTTCGCACGATTCGTTGACGCCGACGAGACATAGAGGAATGCATTTTAATTTCCACCGCGCAGATAAAGCGAATCGTTCGTACAGTCGGAGGAAATCTTATCACGTTATTGTCCAACAACCTGACTATCGGTTCCCAATTCGTCTTTGTTATTTAAATAGGGGAATAGAAAAAAATTCTCGCGTTATCAGAAAGAAAGAGTCGTCCTTCACGCTCTCATGAATTGGTTGATACCGACACGCGAGAGCTCGAGCATACTTTATTCGCGGGACATTACAATTGTCTAATTATCCCCGTTAATTATTATACTCATAAGTTAACATTCGCTTAATTCAAAATTAATGTACGGATAAAGTTCATTCATTTTCAAATAGCAAATATGTTTGTCGAGTAAAAATTTATATACATAGTTTCCGAAAAAAAGGATGCAGAAATTTACATTTTTTTCCGATTTCCGAAGAAAAGAACGCAATACAATGGCACAGCGTCAACTTCAAATAATCGCATGGCGGCTTTTGGATAGCGCTCTTTTTAAATATCTTTTATTCAAGATACGCAAAAGCACACCTAATATATTTCCACCATAATTGCAACGTTAGACTAAAAATTTGTTTAGTCATATCATTATATTGTAATCAACCTATACAAATCGGAAAAAATTTCAATTTTTATATAAATTATGTTCGGCAAATCAATTCAAATGACTAATCTAATCTATTCAAATAATTTGTAACTGTTGTAAATATCTTAAAATCATAAAATCGCGGTTTGCCTTATATAGGCAATTTATAACGCGATTTTATGATTTTAAGATATTTGTACTCTTCTATTCATAAAATGTATGAAAAGAATAGTTAAAACTAAGTTAGTCCGAGTCCAAAACGCATTCTAAGATGAATCATTTATATCAATACGTTATTATGTATTAATGTAAAAACTGCTATGATTACTTTTAAAAAAATAATAAAAATTGTTTGAAAAATCGAAAAAAAATTGATGAAACAAATTAATTAACTTAATTATTTGAATAGATTAGATTAGTTGTTTGCTAAACAGATTTTTTGGATCTCGCGCATTTACCTGGAATGGTACTCATATTTAACACTACTCTAGGTGAAAATTCACCCATATAAATCAAAATTTTTTTTTTATTTTTTTTTTATAAATTACAAAATGTAAAATGACTCAACTATCGCTATATTTTTATGTACAAAAAATAAATAAATTTTAAACGTTAAACGACCTTATTAAATTGTTTTATGTCACTAAAATTTTAATAACAAAACTTATATTAAACTTGAATTAACACTTGAGTGAAATTTCACCCACAATAGTGTTCCAGGATTAATTTACATGTTTATTTACATGTCGATGTCATGTACGCGTTGCAAAGAATCGGATAGATGTCCAGTGTCGCTTTAATTTTAATTTTCTGTAAGAAAAAGATGAAAATTTGCCTACGCCGTTGACAACAATTTCTCGTTTTGTAGTTGCCTTTCGAGTTTGCGCAGTTGTCTTTTGAGCATCGCATTCTTCTGCCTCAGAGGTATGGCTTTAATTTTCAAGACGTTGTCAAGTTCGGTTAGCGACTTAATAAACGTCGCCCCCTGCTTCAGAATGGACACCTTCGACGCTCTGTCATTGTCCGCAACCGCTGGCACCTCCATTCTTAAATGTTCGTAGGATTGTTTCATGTTTACTCGGCGTTGTCGCTCCATATCATTATGTAGCCGCCTTCTTTCCGTATCCTCGGATGAATCACGCTGTAGCGCGAACTGTCGCATCGAATTTTGATACTGGTATGATGTGAATGGCTGTTCAGACTGTTGATCATCTATATGTACATTAGTCTGAATGCGGGTACGTTTTGGGACGGCCCCAGATCGATTGGCTTTTCGTTTTGAGGAACCCGGTGGTCTACCACGAGGCCGGCGAGGAACAGGGGGGGGCTCCTCGTCATCGTCCGAGTCTTCATATTTTACTTTGCGTTGTAACGCCACATCAAAGCGCGTCACCTGCTTTGCGAACGATACTTGCTTTCTGCCAGTCTTGACTGACACGACATCAATGATTGCCTCTTCATCTTCTGCAACAAAATTGACGAATTCGTTTTGTTAAATCACTGATATAAGCGCAAAGATATTATGTTGCAACAATATGCATCGTTAAACAATACACATCGTGTAAATAGTTTAAACACATAAATGTCATGTTGGCGTGGTGCAGTAAATAATTTAATAGCATTATGCAATAATGTTATTAGTAACGTAATTCGTATAACGAAGTGAATATATTCGTCCATTAAAAAAATGTAACAATTTTTAAAATTAGCTTTTAATTCGTAGAAACTTCATGAGTACAAAAATGTCTACAAAAAACGTTTAGCAATTGGCATTAGTAGGATTTTCACAAACTGCGTCATGCGTTATGAAAACAGTTTTGGCAATCGAACCATTCTGAAGGAATAAATAGAAATTCATACAATTATCAATTGTTATATATGATATATAAAGTGAATAGAAAATTATATAATCGATATATGATGCAATCGAGCGAGTCTTTCTCCCGAAATCGCACGGATATGTGCAATATTTAAATTCCCGCGATCGGATAAGTGCTATAAGTCGCGGAATGGTGATGGAATAAATATCTCAACTCGAAATGTACGTACAAAAATTATAACAATTATATAAATAATAAATTAATAATTGGTAAATATAAATAAAAATAATCCAAATAATAATTAGAAATAAATATATATATTTTGTACTTTAAATTTTATTTGCAATATAATTGTAATACATGTGTCTTAGTTCTATAAACTATTATATTCTATATATATTCTAGAAACTATATATTCTAGAAAAAAAAAATTGTATAAAATTAACCGAGAATGTGTAACTGCAGGTATTATAATACGTACAAATTTAAAAAAATATTCAGACAAACTCTTAACCTTATTGTAACCTTCTGTTACATAAATAATTTCAAATTACCATAATAAGGCATAATATCTTTCTAAGAAAAAAAAATTATAAAGCGTTGAAAAAAATCCCTTTGAGGAAGAAATCAGAATTGCAGCTAACACTGCAATAATTCAGGTCGTAAAAGCGAAGAATAATCGACAGTCTTTGACAGCGAGTTTTTTGGAGACCATGTGGCCAAGGAGGCGTTCTGAATGACATACGAAACCGTGGGCGTTTCTGCAAACTATGCCATTCTCGGCGCCTGGCACAATTGATGGAAATCCGGTTGGTCCGGATTCCTCGTATGGATGTAACCACGGACACTCTCGACAAGGGTACTTCCGTAATATGGTTCGATGTCGTATTCACGAGCATGTAAGAGAGAGAGAGAGATTAACTTCACCTCTCTATTTCTCCCAGCTCTAACCCGTTCGCGAATTGTAGTATAATTCCATCGCAACGATCATTTCGCATCCACCGAGCGGTTTATCTTATCTTTATTGAGTCAATTCTCTCGTTTGGTATTCGAGATGATTCATATGTAATAAAGTGCAATAAGTCGTTATTAACTTATTATGTACTCAGTGTTTCTTCTATGTACTTCCCGAGTCGCGATTGTCACGCGTCGAAAATTTTTTCAATTCGTTTCTTCGTATCATCAAATCCGTAAGATCGGCTAATCTCGCGGACATCGTAACGCTTTCGCCCCAATCAAAGAGTTTATGAGGAAAAATATCTCGCCAACACGTGCTTCGTATTATAATTTTCGTCGGCTAATGAACTTACTGAAAAGCCCCTCCTTCCGTGCCAAGTTTTATCGGTAATTTTATGCTACAATCTTGCGTCCTTCGTTAGCCGCAAGACTACCGTATGCACGCAAGAACGTCACGCAGCTTCGTGCATCTCTCCCATTTATGGCGTAATGAGAATTTGACAAATAACAATGTTTACCGGCCTTCAGAGAAAACACCCTAATAGTAAGTACTATACTGAAATATATACGGATTAAACATATTGAATTTTCTGTCATTTTCTCTAACTTAATAAATTCAATCACTCGCATTACATTGAAGCATTAAACATACCGTTAAGTTACGTGACAACATCATTATTGCACTGAGAAAAAAATGCTGTTGATTCAATTAAAGTCTATATTACGGGCTGTTTACTATTAACGTAAGATTGTTAATGTTTACTATTAACGTAAGATGATTAATTCGTGTATATTTTTATTGATATAAGGGCACAAATTATTACTTCAATAATCAAGGCTTTTATGTAATAAAAATATACATTAATTACTTATGTTAGTGACAGCCCGTAATATAGACTTTTAATCAGTAGCATTTGTTCCTCAGTGTGGGTATTTAATTGTTTAAAAATATTTGTGTGTGTGTGTGTGTGTGTGTGCGTGTGTGTGCTTACATATTTTTACATGCTTACATTTTAACTTTGCTAATGTACAGTAACCTCTAGTACGTAATCTCGTGTAGTTACAGTGTTCGTTATTAAGAATCAATTTTTCGTTGTTATCGGAGACGAGCCACGAGAGATTGCAACTCGTGTGGCCTACGCCTAGAGCGTCGCTAGAGGGAAACGGCACGTAAAACTGTGCCATTTAAAGACGAATTCAATCAGCGCTATTCACTTAGAGCTCCGAACTTCCAGCGTGCATACCCTTTTTGGCACCGCTCCATAGGTGCCGTAACGTTTCAGCCCGGGCTCATAAACGAGGACAAGCGGAAGGAGACACTCGTCGGAGGCACGAGGAAGAAAAGCGAGACGTCTAGTCGCGGCCTCGCACGCGCGCGTCTATGCGCGTGCACGAAAGCGGCCTCGCGTCAAGGCGCTTCCACGTGCTTGATGCATTCGGGCATACGAATCCCAGCCGAATCTGGCCCGCGGCCAGCGCGTCTCGTCTCGCCCGCGAAAAGGCGCGAAACGTCTAAAAATAACGGCGCGACTGACCAAGTTAGTAGGCGAGGCTCTGGATTTACTCTCACGCTCACCCCTATCTCTCGCCGGCGTTATTCGCGATCCGCGTAATGAGACATCAAATAATAAACACTCCGTAATCACTCGGTGTACAGCCACTTAATGGGAATTACTTAAAAGATAAAGGCTCGATAAGTTGAAGCCGATAGTTGAAGGAAAGGAATGATCATATATTGTAAATATTACTTTTTAAACGTATCGTCATTTTTTTTTTTCTTTTAAGTATTATTTAATTACGCAATTAAATTACTAAGTGCTTCTCTTCGCGCATCATAATGCAACGTCTATTATCTATCTAGAATCCCTACAAAAGCCTAAGTCAAATTAAAAAGCTCTCTTTCCCTTTCTCTTCCCTTTTACACCGTCACTGACATTATGACGCGAATATCTCGGTCGAGGGAGTGCCACAATTTTTCGCCGTGACGTTCCACGATGCTCGCGATATTTAATTAGCGCAGTCACGTGCGTTCGAGTGTATATGTTTGTATGTGTGGGATAAGCGAGGAGAGCGAAGCTCGAGCAAGAGCGTGACTCGCGTGTGACGGGAACGCGGAAGTCGCGTGTGCAATTGAACGTCAGAATATATGCTAATAATCGCACGGCTCTAGGCGCAGCGGAATTTGTTTGTATTGGTATCCGTGTCGTTGTGACGCACGCACACGGAATAGAACGTCGCGAATGCGCGATCATGCCGCGCACGGAATGACGTTCTAACGCCGGTTACGCGTTGTAACGTAACGACTAATTCATTAACCGGTAATCGTCGACCGACTTCTCCCCCCCCCTTCCTCCTCCTCCCCCCCCTCCACATAAATGTTGAAGTACTAATTACGGATCTCTCGAGGACGTGTGATAAATAATTAAGAACGTTAGCTCGCTGCAAAGTCAATTCCTCCCGGCGGTCTGCATAAAGATAACTAACAAATGGAAAGAACGGTTTTATATCTATACGGAAATAGTGTTTTGCTATGAAATATTTAGAAAAAGTTAATTTAAAAAAATTAATAAATTTTCGATATTTCTCAGCAAAATTTCTTCCCACGTAAATATTTAGTTAGCTACAGACAAGATAATTTTATCTAGAACGCTCAAGCATGATGCAACGTTGTAAACAAATTGTAGCGTCCTAATAAACATCTTGAGCGTCGTATGTAGTTGTTTTCATGGTCCAACAACATTATCTTTAGATCTGTATCTAGCTAAATGTTTACAGACTTCAGTAAAACTGTCCTTTTCGTAATACCATATATATACTATTTATATATGTGTGTGTGTAATGTTTCCATCGAATCGTGATAATAATTCTTTCCAAATTACGGACGTATAATCACACCCTTACTTATCGATTACATACTATTGACTCATTTGCACGCGCGGCATAACGTACATACGTTTACTGGTAATAAATTACAATTAACGTTACATAAAACATTAGCATCGTTATACAATAGAAGAAACACATCGCGATCAATAATCCACCTGACTTCGCTAAAAGTTTCTCCAACCTATCTACCCTTGTTGATACGTTCCGTATTAGATTCCATTCTCTCTTCCTCCCCTCCTCTTTCCCCCTCCCCCTTTCTCTCTCTCTCTCTCTCTCTCTCTCTCTCTCTCTCTCTCTCTCTCTCTCTCTCTTTTTCGCCCAACTCGTCTCATTTTACAAATATCGGTCTTATGAATGCATGTGTCACACGCGCCGTCGCGAGGAGGCTGCAGAAGTGGTCGGCGGTCCGTCGCGATGCAAGCATGTCGGTGCATAGCCTCGATGGATGAAGGAGGAGTGACGGGGGATCAAGTACTCCGCGAGACCGGAACGGGGGGGGGGAAGAGGACGATAGAGAGAGAGGGGCAAAGTCAATTCGCGGCAGCACGTGCACGGTACAGTCGCGTAAGAACGACCTTGGAGGTCAGTGCTCTCCGCGTAAGCAGGCCATAGTAGTACGTCGACGCGATCGATCATCTCTCCTCTCTCTTTCTCTCTCTTCCTCTCTCTCATTGAAGTAGGCGACGCGGCGTCGATAGAGGAGACCAGAGGAACAGAATGAGAAACAGACAGACGGGATAGGGAACAGAGGGAAGCGAGAGGACACGACGCGAGAAGGAGAGGACTCCACCGCGCCGTATC